AATAATTATATAATATGGTTATAGTAAAATAAATACTTAAATTGTTGTAAGAAATTTATAAATGTCAATCTACTTTTAGTTAACATCAAACATTTAAAATAAATTTATATTAATAATTTATTTATTCGCCCGCCCGTAGGGCGGATTTACTCTAGTAAAAAATATATAAAATGTTAAACCATATGATTTCCAATGTGATAACTGGATAATCCTCTTAACCCTCACAGAGACTCCCAAAAACGTATTAGTATAAGAAACTAGTCTTCTCCAATAGTATAGGAGTACACTCTCCACTTTCCCAACTTTTAAATGATTTAAAAGTTGATTAATGAGAGGGTAAAATAAAAATATTGTAATTTGTGTTCAAAGCATTTGGAACCTGTGAAAAAGAACAAACCAAAACATATAAAATCAAATCAAATTCCAACCAAAGCATGCTCTATCATTTACATGTTCGGAAATTGCTTTATGTACTAATATATAAAAAATTTGCTTTCTCATGTATTACCAATAATGATTTTTTTCCACTTGTTCTAGAGTAATCGCGTCAAATGCAGTTCTACCATACATTATTTCCCCCGCAATAAACTTTTCTCATAGTCAGTAATTTCTCTGTTTCTATCATCCCAAAAAGCCCGATGGTTGTTTTCTCGATCATTGATACTAAGTGACCGGCTTCTTCAAAATGTTTGGATGCATTTCACATGCACCTCCACAATATTCATAAACTACTCATTGATAACACATCACCAAATTTTCAGTTGTTTGGCAGCTCACCCACTTGTTTCAACAAGGTATGAAGACTACTCACATCAAGATCATCCTAACTTGAGGTGTTTATGATCATGAGTCTATTCTTCTTTTTCTTTTTTCTCGCTGGTCAGCAAAATCTTGATATTTTTATATAGATAGAAACATAGACCCTCTTCTTCTTGTTAGAATCTTTGGTTGTTGAACAAAAAGGCCCAATTTTTTAAATCAGTTTCAATGATATCTAGAAGATCGTAAAAGATTTTAGATGATTTATATAGAGAGGGAAATGATAAGTTAGAGCCACAATTGATGGAAGTGACGAGGGAGAGTGAACTGAATTGTCATGACTGAGGACAATGAACATTTTGAGAAATCAAACAATCAATGCGCACAAAGAAAAATGCCCAAAAGTTGAACCATTTAAGTGGTTTGTCATTTCTTGAATCATTTTAACATGTTTTGGAGTAGTTTCATGGTTAGTATAACTTATTGATATTGAGAAAATGCTAATGGCTTTGGCCAGCTGATTTTCAGTATTACTGGATGACCAAGACGCCAAAACTGAGTAAGAGAGCTTATTACGAAATATGGAGCCTTATGAATATATTTTGGTTATAGAAATAGAATATTTTTGTTAGTCTTATTTAAAATTATTTGAAACGTCACAAATTATCACATTTTCTAATAGTGTTATAATTGTAAATACCTTATATATTAAAAGAGAAGCATTGTAATAAATGTGTTCACACACCAATTTTTTAAATTTATTATTTAATGTGTTTATATACTATTTTTAATTAATTTATTTTCCCTACATTTTTAGCTTTTGTATTGATAAAATAAAATTTTCTACGTGAAACTAAAGAATAATATATTTATTGTAAAAAATTACAAAATCATTAAGATTCGCATCAACTAAAATGTTGCGATGAAAATGTTTGTAGAAATTAAAAGTCTCGTACATTGCCGAAGTTGGTCATGGTTTAGGTTTTGGTACACAATAACAACAAATAAGGTGATTGATTATGAATTAATGAAGCTGAGGTGAAAAACACCACACGTAAAGTTGGATCTTAATTTAGTCAAATATTAACATTTTTATAAAATTTTCATATCAGACCAAGAATTAGAAACAAAATCAAATTGGTAGAAAAAATGAGAAATCAGAAAAGCTTTAAAAATAAATAAAAATCACAAAATCGATTAAAACAGAATTCAGGTAATAAGTGAAGATGTCACTTTGTGATATATATTATTTATATTGTTTACGGGTACAATTTGATTTTCTTCTTATGAAAAAAAGTTATTAATTTCTAGGTTTTTTTATTTTTACTTAATTTTATTTAAGAATTTACTATCATGTGTTATTTTGAACAAAAAAAAGTTTAAATCTTAATTAACGGTATATTCATATATTTATCATCACATTTCTATACTTTTACATATACATACATGTACACATTGACATGAGCGACTATATAACTAAATATTCACCACAAGTGAGAATTTTAATTCTTATTGAAGTTGAATTTTTGTTTTTAATGTTTTCTTTCACTATCGCTCAAAATGTAATGAAATTTTTTATGTCAATAATTTTATTTTCTTTTTTCGAATATTATTTAGATTTTCTTTTATTTTACATGTCTTTAGAAATTATAATAGGAAACTATTAGTTTGACATAGAAATGGCTAAAATTTATTTAAAACGCAAAAGAAAACAAATAACAATAGTTTTTGGTTATCATCGAAAAAATCAAAAACATCAAACATTTAAACCAAACAAACCAAAATAAATATAGATTTAGAATCATAGTTATATTTTAGGAGATTAAAAAAATAATGTAAAACTAAACCAATATTCATGCTAAACAAACATAATATCATTTTATCTTAAAAGTAACAAAAGTAATAATGTCATTCTGCGCAAGGCGCAGGTTATTGCCTAGTCCGTATATTATTATATAGTCATTTGGTTATTTTTGTGTTCTATAAGAACACCCTTATTGGTGTACATGCTATAATGGTATCTTAAAGATTGTAATAACATTATCTGTAATTTAATTAGATTTTACAATTATAATTTAAATGTTAAAATGAATTAGAACCACTAAAAAGAAAACAGTTGACAAAATTTAAGGTTCTCTCTCCTCAGTATTATTTTTCAACATCTTAAAGCTTGAGATACTCTATCAAAATTTTGAAATGACCAAAAAAATATCTTAAGAAACAGCCAATTAGATACGTACACACCATAGCTAAATCTAGCCCAAACGGTGTGAATGAAAAAATACATAAAACTATTGATAAGAGATTACTCCTAAAAGCCGAGAGACCTTTTATTATCTTCGCTAACCTCTCTCTCAGCTTCTGCTGGATCTCTCCATAAGACAGAAGATCGTCTTTAGAGAGATTCTTAGGGTAAACTTTTTCTCTCTCTTCATCTATATTTATATTTTGGTATCTGTTATAGGTTTCGATTTTGATAACCCCTTTGTGTTTTGGAGGTTTCTCTCTGTCGACTTATGGTGTCTCTCTTTTTCATTTATTAGGGACTGATCAGGTCGATCAAGGCATCTCGTGCAGACATGTGAGTAGTTTTCTTGTATTTTTATTTAGGCTTCTATTGTAAGAACACGGCTCAAATGATAGTTTCATGTTATTCATAGGATTCAATAACTTTGATTGAAAAATGCTCTAAGAATCTTAAATATATATCAATTTGAATTCAGACATTCTACGAATCGTTTTGTTTACAATTACCTTAATGTCCCAAACCCCTAGGCACGGACATATAAAATGCCAATGAAATTGCTCACAACTTTTTTTTTATTTAAATCTGCAATAGTAGTGTCACGGTCTCCATCATTGCCATTCCTAACAACCTCCCTTACCTATCCTCTCTTCACACCACTCATCCATCCGGTCTCGCCTCCGTCACCTTAGCTTTCCCCTCACCATTGTCGCGTCCTTTAGATGTTTAAAACGCCATCTTCTGATTGTGGCTTCTCTTAGTCAGCTCTCAACGTTGATTTCTTTCCTCAGCTCCGAGCATTCTTTTCAATATGATTATTTATTAATTGAGGCTTCCTACTCAATGCAAATTTTGAAACTAACGTGTGTATGTATTTTATATATGATATATATTTTAATCTATTATATTAAAAGAGAAGTCATGACTCATTTCATGTGTGATTTATTTCATTTGGACCATTAGCAAAAAAAATTTATTAAATATATTTCATTTCTTTGTAACCACTTCAATCATAATATCTTTTGATATCTTTCTATTTTAAATATGTATTAATTCTTTTTAACAAATCTGTTGAAAAGATTTTAGCAAGATCTTAACTTTAAAAACATTATATAAATATTTTACTAATTAATAACTTGTATAATTTCGAATTAGTAATGAAAATAATTATACATTAATATATATATATATATATAATGAAAACAAAATGTTATTCTTTTTATCTATTTCATAATCATAATCTATCATATTAAATGAAAATTACTATAATAAAGTGAATGTTATAAAATTATATTAAATTAATAAATTAATCAATTTTATTTTCAAAAATAGAAAATATTAATTTTAAAAATCTAAAATATATTGGCAGAACGGATTAAGATTAGTAACTATAAATAAATATATAAAATTAACATATCTTAAACTTTTATAATATCATATTATCTATATAAACATAAAAAGTTTGCTAAACGGTAATCAAGCTTTGAAACTCAGATAATAATTTAGTATAAATTAAATATAAAGTAATTTTCAAATATGATTTTCATGCATATATTAATATTAATAATTAAATATAAATCCAATGAGATAAGTATATAAAAAGAAACTATTGAAACAACTGATATTAACATACAAGCTATAAAATTATTGTGTTTGTAATAATTATACAAACATTTAAACGTATGACTAACATTATTAATGATATAAAACTAATATATATGTATATAAATATGAAAACAAATCCCGCGCGGTTGCGCGGGTTAAAATCTAGTTTATATTAAATGATACACATATATTAATTTTCTGGGACCAAGTTGAAATTTATACATGCTTAAATAACCCTACAAATTATTATATGGCTTTTCAAATAAGAAAAAAAATATCAAGAATAGTCGTAAACACTATAGTCCATATGTCTGGAACTAAATCGTAATATAAAATACAGTAGAACGTATGAATGCATTACTTACCCACCATTCTACATCTAACCACCAAAATGTCTGGAAAAATGCACTCGCCAACACCGCAGGACTCAAAACGCAACGGTTCAAAACAGCACGTAATGGTGTTTCCATATCCAGCAAAAGGCCACTTGCTTCCTCTCCTTGACTTAACCCATCAACTCTGTCTGCATGGCGAAATCAGTGTTTCGATCATCGTAACACCTAAAAACCTTCCTTACCTCTCTCCTCTTCTCATCGCTCATCCATCCTCCATCTCAGCCGTCACATTTCCTTTCCCTCACAATGCTTCACTCCCTCCTGGCGTTGAAAACGTCAAAGACACCGGTGCTTCTGGGAACCCTCTGATTATGGCTTCTCTTCGTCAGCTTCGAGAGCCTTATCAAAGGTTTGATTCAAGCTCGATTCAAAAGAGGAAGATGACAAAATCAGTTACAAGAGAGAGAGATTGAAATGTAAAGTTTGTTATTCACATTCTCGTTAACCTTACAAACTGTAGATTCAGTTATATATATACCAGATGGTATTTACATGTAAACCGGTATAATAAGTAAACCAACATTGAACCGGTATCAACCCAACTATCCTAAGACGCCCCCCTCAAGTCTTTAGCTTCTGGAACAGGAGGAAGATAAAGACTTGACATAGAGAACCTGTGGAGTAGAGAATTGAAAGGACCCGGATGCAGAGCCTTCGTTAGAATGTCTGCAAGCTGATTATGTGTAGAAACATGTAATGTCTGCAACTTTCCAGCCTTCAACTGATGACGAACTGTGTGACAATCAATGTCAATGTGTTTAGTCCGTTCATGGAAGACCGGGTTCATGGCAATATGGATAGCAGACTTATTATCACAGAAGAGCTTGGCAATGGAAGTAACAGAGACATGAAGATCACAGAGAAGTTGCTGCAACCAAATCAACTCACATGTGGCAAGGGCTAAGCTCCTATACTCTGCCTCCGTACTACTGCGACTAACCACTGACTGCTTCTTAGACTTCCAAGAGATGAGAGAGGAACCTAAGAACACACAGAATCCAGTCACTGAACGTCTTGTATCCTTACAAGTAGCCCAATCTGCATCTGCAAAAGCGTTAAGGCAAATCTCTGTATTGGCAGAATAGAACAAACCAAGACCAGGATTTCCTTTCAAGTATCTTAACACCTTATGAGCGGCTTGTAAGTGAACATCAGTTGGGGCCGAGAGAAACTGACTCAACTGATGCACTGCAAAGGTAATATCAGCTCGTGTGATAGTAAGATACAGTAGACGACCAATAAGCTCTCTGTAGACAGTAGGATTGGATAAAGGAACTCCCAAATCCTTAGACAAGTGAAGAGAAGGATCCATGGGAATAGAACTAGGCTTACAGCCTAGCAGACCAGAATCTTCAAGCAGATTAAGAGTATACTTGCGTTGACAGACGCCAATACCCGTAGAAGATCTAGCTATTTCCAAACCAAGGAAGAAACGAGCAGAACCAAGGTCTTTAATCTTGAACTCTGAACGTAGTAGATCCTGAAGCTTCACCAAAGCCATCTTATCATTGCTTGCAATCAAGATATCATCAACGTAGACAAGTACCGCAATGAAAGACTGATTCTGAGCCTTCACAAAAAGTGTATTGTCCGCTGATGACTGAACAAAGTTAGCACCAAGAAGAACAGAAGAGAACCTCTTATACCATTGCCTTGATGCTTGTTTTAGTCCATATAACGACTTCCGGAGTCTACAAACCGGATCAGGTGGCAAAACAGTACCAGGAGGAGGAGTATATCCTTGAGGTAACCGCATGTAAATCTCCTCATCCAACTCACCATGCAAAAACGCATTGGAAACATCCATCTGATTCAAAGACCATCCCTTAGCTGCAGCTAAACTGATCAAAAGCTTGACACTCGTGAGCTTGGCAACAGGAGAAAAAGTGTCTATATAATCAAGACCTTCCTGCTGTGTAAAACCTTGAGCCACCAAACGAGATTTAGGACGCTCAATAGTACCATCAGCATTATATTTCAGAGTATGAACCCACTTACACCCCACAACATTCTTGCCACGAGGAAGACTCTCAATAGACCAAGTTCCATTCGCCTCTAAAGCCTCAAACTCCGCATTCACAGAACCACGCCACATATCAGAAGCCATAGCTTGTTTGAAAGTCTTAGGTTCCGTTTCAAGAGTATAAGCAAAGATAGAAGATTGAAAAATGGGATTGAGATTGTCATAAGACAAAACAGAGGAAAGAGGGTAAGGAGTTTTCTGTTCTGCAGGAATGGTAGAAGAAGAAAAAGAAGTAAAAGGAAGTAAAGCACAATGATACTCAGAAAGATAACTAGGAGGTTTAGTCATCCGCTTAGGTCTAACAACATTAGTAGAACCTACACCAGTATCATGTGAAGATGATGCTACATTACCCTCATGCATATGAGATGAATGATTAGCAGAAGAATGATCAGAAGATGTATGCACAGAATGATCAGATGATGTATGAGCAGAGTGATTAGCAGGAGAAGATATCGGATGAGTACAATCAGTATGCAATTGTTCTGGTAAAGGAAATGTATCAACGAAGTGCAAAGGAACAGGTAAAGGTAAAATTGTATTAGGAAAAATATCCACAGAAGATGCTAACATGTCAGTAGTTTTAAAAGGAAACTCTGTTTCATGGAAAATAACATTTCTAGTTATGGAAACAGAACGTGACTCCAAGTCTAAGACTTTAAAACCTTTGTAACCAAGAGGATATCCTAAAAAGATACAAGGTTTAGCACGTGGAGAAAACTTATTTCTATCCTTTAACAATGTGGACGCATAGCACAAAGAACCAAAAACTTTTAACATACTGTAATCAGGTTTCTTACCAAGAAGCAACTCAAAAGGAGACTTGAAACCAAGAAGAGGTGAAGGCAAACGATTTATCAAAAAGACTGCAGTCAAAACACAATCACTCCAATAAGCAAGAGGCACCTGAGATTGAAAAAGCAAAGATCGAGCCACATTTAAAAGATGTTGATGTTTCCTTTCAACAACAGAATTCTGTTGTGGTGTATAAGGACATGAATAAAAGTGTATCATCCCATGTTCTTTCATTAATTCAGGAAAAGCTAACTCTGGTGCATTATCCGAACGTATAGCTTTTACTTTTGCATTATATTGTGTAGAAACAAGTTGAAGAAATGCAGGAAATGAAACAGAAACATCACTTTTATTACGCATCATGTAAACCCATGTCATTCGTGTACAATCATCAACAAGAGTAAAGAAATATCTAAAACCTTCCACAGACTCTGTACTAAAAGGACCCCATACATCAATATGAACTAAATCAAATGGTTTAGGTGACAATTGATTTTGAGAAACAAATGCTAATCTCTTTTGCTTAGCTAACGGACACACAGAACAATGAGACTCTGTAGACGAAGAAACTGACTTCAAGCTTGGTAAATCTGGAACAATGCTTTGGAAAACACCAGAAGAAGGATGACCTAGACGAAGATGCCACACATGTTCACTATGCAACACAGAACCACAAAAGAACGTCGCAGGAGATGATGTTGAGAGGGCAGGTTGCTCAAGAATGTAGAGATTATGATAGAGATTACCCCTCCCAATCATCAATCCCTGTGAAAGTTCCTGTATCAAGCAAACATTGGAAAAGAAATGTGCTGAGCAAAATGATCGTTGTAAAAGATTGCTCACGCTGATGAGATTAAAACGAAAATCAGGTACATGTAAAACATTATGCAAAATCAATGTATCAGTAATGCGAATGAGACCTATATGAGTAATGGGAACCATTGTACCATTAGGTAATGTAACTTTGACATTATGAACCAGTGTAAGTTCTGTAAACATTGCTAAATCTGAGCAAACATGACTAGAAGCCCCACTATCTATAATCCAAGCATCATGTGGTAAAAAGGATTGTAAGGTGGAAAAACAATGGTCTTGAAAAGTAAGAGCATGTTGATTATATTTGAGACTGGTAGAAGGAAAAGGAAAGATACCAGAAGAAGAAGCTAAAGGAGTGGCACCCTGTTCTGTGATCGTAGCTCGTGAATGCGAAATAGAAGGCGCTTGAGCATGGACCTGTGATGTGAACTGAGAAATCAGATGCTGAATCTGTTGTGGAGTGAAGTCCTTCAAAGTCATATTAGCACCACCACTCGTAAGATGAGGAACTCCAGGTTGAGAATAAGAAACCCCAAAGTTAGAATGCACATTAGCAATAGCATGAGCCTGTTGAGATGCAGTAGTATCCGTAAGCTGCAGTTGCTGTTGTGGAACAGAACGAGGCTGCTGTTGCTGTTGCTGTGTATTCTTCTGAAAAGACTGGTTCCTTGAGCCGTTTGTTTTATAACCCGGAGGAAAGCCAATAATCTTGAAACACTTTTGAACTGTGTGACCACTCTTTCCACAATGAGTACATATCGGACGTTGTGTTTGACGAAGAGTGTTATAAGCTGCAATGTAAGCATTATTCTCCATAGTAGTCAAGGAAGAATCTGGAGGTGTCTGCAAAGAGGCCGTGGCTTGAAACGCTACAGTATCAACCTGAGTAGACGGCTTAATAGATCTCTGTCTCTCATCTTGGGTAACAATGTTAAAAGCCTCTTCTATCGTTGGTATTGGCTTTAACATCAGAATATGACGCCTCGATTGTTCATACGTCTCATTCAATCCCATGAGAAATTTAGTCACACGACTCCTCTGTTGCAACTTCTCCCAAAGACTAGCAGCATCACACTCACAACGACCACAAGTACACTCAGGAAGCTCAACATAATTCTTATGTTCTTCCCAAAGAGTCACCAACTCGGTATAGTAAGTAGTAACATCTAAAGATCCTTGTTCTATCTTACTTAACCGCTGCTCAAGATCATAAACCCTAGGAGCATCATCCTGTTTAAATCTTGTGACTAAGTTCTTCCAAATTCCCTCAGCAGTATTAACAAACAACAGACTCTGGCCTATTTTCTTGGAAACCGAATTCAACAACCAAGTAGCTACCATATCGTTGCATCTAGACCACACGCCATAATCCTTATGAGTAAGAGAAGGACGAGGAATAGTACCATCGATGAAGCCTAACTTGTTGCGAACATTCAACGCCATACGAATAGATCGTCTCCAAGAATGAAACTCCGACGCCATAGTCAAGCGATCTGAAACAAGAACAAGACCAGGATGATCCGTATTGTGCAAATAGTACGGATTCTCATACTTATCAATCTGGAATCGGTTCGAATCGGTGTGTAACTGCTCCGCCGAAGGGGATTCTGAATCGGAAATCGCCATAGAGAGAATCACAAGAAAACTAAAGAAATCACAGAAACGAGACGACGAAAGAAGAGAAATCGTTCGAGAAAGGTCAATCAAAGAGAAGAAAGTAAGAAGAGAAAGTGAAAACAGCTCAAAACTCCCTGGAAAAGTTCAAGAACGGTGAACATCATCAAGATCACGAATCGAGAAACTTGCATCATCGGAAGACTCATGATACGAATCGAAGAAGCGGAAGATCAATGAGAAAGCTCTGATACCATATCAAAGGTTTGATTCAAGCTCGATTCAAAAGAGGAAGATGACAAAATCAGTTACAAGAGAGAGAGATTGAAATGTAAAGTTTGTTATTCACATTCTCGTTAACCTTACAAACTGTAGATTCAGTTATATATATACCAGATGGTATTTACATGTAAACCGGTATAATAAGTAAACCAACATTGAACCGGTATCAACCCAACTATCCTAAGAAGCCTATCATCAAGTGGTCGAGTTCTCATACGAATCCCCCGGTGGCTATCATCTCTGACTTCTTTCTTGGATGGACCAACGACCTTGGTATCCCTCGCTTCGCTTTCTTTAGCTCCGGAGCTTTCTTAGCTTCGGTTCTCCATTTTTTCTCTGACAAGATTCATCTCTTGGAGTCAAATGAGCCGGTCTGTTTCTCGGATCTTCCTCGTTCTCCTGTTTTCAAGACAGAACATCTCCCGGCTTTAGTCCCACAGTCTTCGTTATCACAAGATCTCGAGATTTTTAGAGACACCACGATGAATTTGTCGAGCTACGGTTGTGTTTTCAATTCTTGTGAGTGTTTGGAAGAGGAGTACATGGAGTATGTGAAGCTGAAAACGGGTCATAACCGGGTTTTCGGTGTTGGCCCGCTTTCTTCAATCGGGTTAGGTAAGGGAAACTCTTTGTCCAGTGTAGACGTGGAGGCCTTGATGAGTTGGCTCGATGGATGTCCAGACGGATCTGTGCTCTACATCTGCGTTGGAAGTCAAAAAGTGTTGACTAAAGACCAATGTGATGCCCTGGCTCTTGGTCTTGAAAAGAGCATGACCAGGTTTGTTTGGGTGGCTAAGGCAGACCCGATACCCGATGGGTTTGAGGATCGGGTCGCCGGTAGAGGAATGGTTGTGAGAGGGTGGGCTCCTCAAGTGGCTTTGTTGAATCACGTGGCTGTTGGTGGGTTTTTGAGCCATTGTGGATGGAACTCGGTGATGGAAGCGGTGGCTAGCGGAACCATGATCTTGGCTTGGCCCCTGGAGGCAGATCAGTTTGTGGATGCAAGGTTGCTGGTGGATCATATGAGTATGGCTGTTAGGGTTTGTGAAGGGGGTGAGACTGTCCCAAACCCGCATGAGCTAGGTAGGGTTCTAGCTGAAACAATGGGTGAGGGGGGACGCGATGTGCGTGGTCTGGCTAAAGAGATGGGACAGAAGATACAAGCTGCAACTGAAGCAGGAGGAAGCTCTAATGCAGATCTAGAAAGACTTGTAAACGAACTGGGGTCTCTATAAGGATAAGAATATCTGATGAAAAATCCTTTCAAGAGGTTTATCCCAATAAAAATGTATGTTACATTGTTCACAAGGTATTGACTATGATTATGCAAAACATAAAAAGTGAACCAAGAAGGTGTAGAACAACAAAAGTCTGAACCTCTCAAGAATAAAATCATTAACCTTTGAAATCCATGTATGAAAAGCAGATTCATAGCGGAAATTGAGTTTAGCATGCTAAAACAAGCAATGGAATGCAGCATTTGCTCACCACCACAAATAACAATTAAGTTATAGAAGTAGTACTATACCATACTATAATTCGAAGGATTCAGTAACTTCGATTGACAAAGAGTTAAAATGTGTAAAATATTAATTCTGCTGACAGTCAGAAGAAACAAACTGAATGTAGCTTAGTTACAATAATTAAAGTGGAAGTACTAAAAGTTATCTTCACTTTCGTGTACTATGAAGTTGAAAATGACAGATATAAGTTGTAAGAAAAAACTTGGGTTTTCTTTGGTCTTTTGATCGAAACTGTACAACAAATCTTTTAATATTCTGCTATGTATAAAGCTAGTCAGATAAAAGAAAAGAAATAAAATTATCTCGAGAACAAAATCTTCAATGAACTTCTTGTTAATAAAAACAGCATGAAACAAAACAACTAAAAAGGTTATAATCAAGAAACGAAGAACAAAACTGAAGAACCCATGCATAAGTTTAATTTTAATGCATGAGAGAGCAAAATAGAACATACAAACATATATAATTAATTAATACTCATTGTTGTTGCAATCATCTTGTTGCTCGATATCAGAAGCAACTTCATAGTAGTCCTCATGATCTCCCCCAATGCTATCAATCCCACAAGGAACATGACCATGTCCAAAAGCCTTGACGTGGTCTTTAAGAGACCTCTTATGCTTAAAATCTGAGCCACAAGAGCAATACCAAAGCTTACCACAGTTCTTCTCGTGTGTTCTCCAATCTCCTTTCACTGCAAAGGCTTTGCCACACCTGCGACAAGCAAAAGGTCTGGAGCCGTGTTTGCGTTTGTAATGTGTTTGGAGGGTTCGAAAGTCCTTGAGAGGCTTGGCTCGTGGGTGGTCAATATTGTTCTTGCAGCCTGGTGCACAGCAGTAACATGGTAGTCTTAGCATTCCTGTTGGTTGGGTTCCTCTTAATGACTCTGGTCCCTTTCTGTACTGTGAGCCGTGTCCCCACATGTGCATCTACCATAAAAAAAAGTTTTCCATGTCATAAATGATAAGGGAGTCATCAGTATTAAGAGCATCTCTAATGGTGATATTCCACTAGAGTCTTTAGAAAAAATGTTTTTGATTTTTTAATTATTATTATTTTTTAAATTAAAATCAACTAATCGCAGGTCGTTACGTGTCGTGGGCACCCGAAAATAGTGCAAGAATTCATTAAAAAGAGTTCTTATTTAAAAAAATTTAAAGATTAAATCCTTAACTTTTTATGAGGTTAACTGGTTATTAATTATTTTTTCTCTAAAAACTCTTTTTAAAAACTCATTTTAGGAAGTATTAGTTTTAAATCTAGTCCACGTGCTATTGTGGTGGTCGGTGGGTAATGTGACACTATGGATTATTGGATTTGTTAGAGTAAAAGTATTTGTATATATTTTTACCAATAATTAGTTAACATAACCTTATTTTATCAACGTTTGGTTATAGTACATTGCATACGCGAGGCCGAACGTATTTTCTTTTGGTCTGAGTTGTATTTGCATATATAATTAAGAAAATGAACATAAACCAATAGGGCTTTAACCAAGTAAAAAAAAGAGATGTAAATGTGAACACACTGCAAGTAATGTTCTATATGTATATATTAGCCTCTTTACTGCATGTAAAACTTTACTTTTGACATGAAATGATTATTAGCTATATCTACTCTTGGGTAATATATAAACAAAATAAAGTATATATTCACAGGGCCGGAGCTGAGATTTTTGGGGCTTAAAACATATTTTAAGAACTTTAAAAATTTTGAGAGTCAAAGTCAATGTTTAGGGGCTAATTCCTAGGTTAAATTTTTCTACAAATTTTGGGGGCCAAGGCAAATGTTTCGGTCAGCTGTGTCCAAATCCAGCCCTATTCACAGATACTTTGCCAGACATTAGTCCTCCTTACCGTCTTATGAGTTCACAAAAATCACGGGAGACAATAAAGATGGAGGTGGACTAAGCATAAAGAGTCAGACTGACAAAAAGACTGGTAGTTAAAGAATATCTTCTGACTTACTACGTAAGTTGATATTACATAGACATCATTATTCAACACCTTGAAATTGATTTGAAGTGCACCACAATTTTGTAAAAGATCTAGTTTATTAAACTTGAGTTAAGAAAAATTTCAAAAGTACTTACCAAAAGTACTTGTTAGTTACAACTATGCGATACACCTAAAGATCCATAAATCAATAAAGAGGTTGTATATGGACATTAAAATATCCGCGTTGAAGAATATGAAGTCAAATCTTAAGAAGAGTTTACATTGAATTCTTGAATTAATGGAGTGGTACCTGCATGTTGTTGTATCTGTTGAATGTCTTGAAGCAGAGAGGACAAGAGAACTGTGTAGGACCCATCAAAATCTGATCAGGTGTAGGGATCCAATAGTGATGACCTCTGTGTAGATCTCCATGATTATCATCATCATGAAGGTGGGAGTCAACTGTGACCTCTACTCCTTGGTCATCATCTTGCTCACCAGTTGTTGCATCAGGAGCAATATAGCTCCCACCAACACCATAGTTTGGAAACCCTAGATGAAGATCCACGGTTACATCATGAGAATAATCAAGAAACTTTGAAGAGCTGATCTGATCTGTGTCCATGAAATAATGTTGATCTTGTTGTTCTTGGTGCCTCATGGGACTTAAGCTAAGAAGAGGAAGAGCTTCTCTCAGCGGAGGTGAGTTAGGGAAAGTGGAAGTACTAGGAGCCATGGAATTAGGGTTTGTGGTATTAGGGTAATAAAAGCTGTTGTGAGGGTTATAAATGTATGAAAGAGAAGTGGAACAGTTGAAGTTTGTATTGTCAAATCCATTGTTTAAGAGATTGGAATAAGCTGGATTAGACATGACTTTGAGGAGAAGACAAAGGAGAAGAAGAAGAGAGAGAGGCACCGTAGCTTTGGTTGATGGGTTTGTGCTAGAGAGATAGAGAAATAAGACAAGGATGTGAGTGTATGTATATATACAGAGGATATGGGTGTGTGAGTGTATGTATCAGTACCAACGTTTGAGATGTGACGAAGCGGTGGAAACTATCTTTGGGGCTCGCGTTTTAGTGGATTGGTTTTACGTATATGCACATGCACTATAAAGTCAAACATATTTAGATCCTTGTGCAGTTGTGCTCAAAGAACTGGTCTATAAAATTAACCTAAGATTTAAAGTGTTTGTATAAAATGACAAATCATATGTTACATAATTTTTAAAAAAATATTAACGTTATTGCAACTATGATTTTAAAATGTACTTTAGATTTAAAAATCTGTTCTTATGGAAAATAGCTTAAGTTTTAAATTTTAAGAGTTTTGTTGTGATTTGAAGGTTTTTTGGTAGAGTTTATAGTTAGAAATATGCAAACAAGTAATGGTTCTAAATGTGTTATTGAATGAATGAAGTTCCACAATCTGTAGTTGGAAAATAATTTGCTAATAAGAAGATATATATATATATATATATATATATATGTGTGTGTGTGTGTGTGTGTGGCCAATCCACTTTGCTAATTGGAATCCTATGACTTTTTTTTATCATCAACTTAATACAAACTCATGTTGACTCTGTAAACCACTCTGATAGCTTTGCATCCATGTGAACGACGAAAGACAAGTGTTTTCGAGCACTACGTGCAACACTATCCGCCTGTGAATTATGTATTCTTGGTACATAGATGATTTTTAAGCTAAGAAAGCTTTCCTTTAACGTCTTGATATCTTCCAAGTAAGTTGCAAACGCGGACCATTCTTCTGGTTCCGAAACCATCTTCACCAATTGAGAACAATCCGTTGCAAAAGTAACCTGCTATTGACACAAATTTTTCATGCATTCCATTGCCCAAATTAGGGCTTCTACCTCATAATATAGAGGCGAGAGGCTAGCCCGTACATTTCGTGCTCCCATTAGTCCATCAAAATCTTCTAATGTACTATACCACCATTTCCCTGAAAATTCCTCTTTAACTTTCTATGAACCATCGGTAAAACACCAGCGACCTGGGATGAATGGTAAATTCACATCCCCTAACTGTTGTGTTTCTAAATCAAGAGAAGGAGGCCCTCGTACCAGTTCTGCTGCGGGGACGTCTAGAGCAGTTCCGGCAAGTGGTAATTCCAACCCACCCATACAACTAATACCGGCGATGTCTAGAAGGAAACCGGATTTTCGGACTCCTCCACCCCAGGTTCCTTAGTAGTACTCAGCTGGAACTGTTGTGGGCTGGGGAACCCCATAACAGTCCAGCGTTTGAAGGAGATTCACCGGAGAAACTCACCGGATATCTTCTTTCTCATGGAAACTAAGAACAAAACGGAGATGATCACCGAGACACTGGATTGGCTAATTTTAGAAAATACGTTTGCCGTTCCCCCTCATAGCCCGGGAGGAGGTGGGCTTTTTCTTATCTGGAACAACAATATAAAGCTCACAGTCAGAAGATCAACCCACAACTATATTGATACCATGATTGACTACAAAGGGTTATCTTTCCAAGCAACCTTTGTGTACGGTGAGCATGACCATACAAAGAGACAAGCAGTCTGGAATGAATTGACTGAAATGCAACCCGCTTCTGGTGACCCCTGGTTTTTAACAGGAGACTTTAATGAGTTAACAGAAAATGGAGAGAAGAGTGGAGGGCAAATCAGGGCAGAGGGTACCTTCTGCGCTTTCAGGACCTTTCTCTCTTCAAATGATCTCTTCAACATTAAGCATTATGGTAATTTCTTATCCTGGAGAGGAAAAAGAAGTGGGAAAAC